CCTCAGGCACCCCCGGTCTTTCTGTGACCCCGAGGGTCCTGAGACCACACTGTCCCGGAGGGTTCCACCCCCCGCTGAGCCACCAGAGTGACGTCCCTCGGCGGAGCAGACTTTTAAAAGTTCCGATTTTGTGCTCCGCGGCTCTATCACTTGCCAGAAGCGGCCGACGGAGGCCCCTCCCCCGCCGTCTATCCTCCCGAATATCGCCTCGGATTCACTTCTCCGCACGTCCTACCTTCCAGAAAGTGGTCGCTTTTCTGCTGAGACAGTTGTTGCTCTTCTTTTCTTCGATCTCCTGTTGAGTTTGTAGGTGTTCAGAATGGTTTGATCCCTATCCAGCTGAATTCCTGAGAGGAGACGAAATCCAGGTCTCCTACTCCTCCGCCATCTTGCTCCGCCCCCCTCCTTAAGTGTTTCTTAAACATTTTCCTCTTCTGTCTCAAAAATAAAACTTCAAAAATCTGGTGCCATGGTATGCAACTTTTCTTAAGAGTTCAATCCTTCCTGATTCCTGGGTTATTTCAAAATACTGTATCTTGCTATTCCATTTCAGGTAAATTAAATAAAACTAGCCCAAAACTAGATTGGTTTTTCATGGGTTTTTGTTTTTGTTTTTGTTTGGTGTCAAAAATAAAATTCAGGAGCGCCTGAGTGGCTCAGTCGTTAAGCGTCTGCCTTTGGCTCAGGTCATGATCCCAGGGTCCTGGGATCGAACCCCATGTTGGGCTTCCTGCTCAGCGAGGAGCCTGCTTCTCCCTCTCCCACCCACCCTGCTTGTGTTCCCTCTCTCGCTGTGTCTCTGTCAAAATAAATAAATAAAATCTTTAAAAAAAATAAAATAAAATAAAATTCAGTCATTTTCAATATTTTTAGCGTGCATCATGACAAGCATTGTGTCAGTTCTGGGATGGTGGGAAACAAACAAGATATGGCGCTTGCCTAGAGAACCTCACAGCCTATCAGGTAAACAGACAAGTGGAAAAGAATCATAATTCAGGGCAAATGGGGGTAAATGCCAGATGTTCTGGGGGATTACTGGAGAGGCACCTAACCCAGCTGGGTGTGGGTGTGTGTGTGATGGTTGTCAAGAGGGCTTCCCAGAGGAACTGAACCGTGAGCTGAGCCATGAAAAATGGAGGATGAGGGGTGGGGGAAGAGAGATCCCCCCCAGAGGAAAGAGCACATAAAAAGGCGACAGGCTAGCAGAGACAAAGGGATGTTCACAATTTGGGGAGGCGGTGGTGGGCAACTGTGGGGGGGCCGGTAAGGCTGGAGATGAGCAGGGCCTGAAGAGGAGGGGCCTGGCAGCAAACTTTAGGAACTTTATCCTCAGGACAATGGGAAAGCATTTAATGGTTTCAAGTGACAGTGATATGGTCAGATTTTAATTTTATTTTACTTCCCACACAAGTGGGAGGGGCAAGGAGTGGGAGAGAGAATCCCAAGCAGACTCCCCGATGAGTGCAGACCCTGGACCTGGGGGCTCGATCCCACGACCCTGAGATCATGACCTGAGCCAAAACCAAAAGTCAGACGCTCAACCATCTGCGCCACCAAGGCGCCCCTCGATTTGAATTTTGGAACAGTTCCTGTGGCTGCTTGCAAGTACAGAGCCATAGGGACCAGCTGGGAAGCTCTTGCAGTGACCAGGAAAGGCTGGGGGCGGGGGCCCGGATGAAGGCAGCGGAAGGGGGAAGCAGCAGCTGCAGCAGAGAGATTTTGAAGCAGTTAACAGGCATGGCGACTAGATGTGTGGGTGGAAGACTGGCAAGTTTCCGGTTTGGGCAACTGAGGGGATACTTATGCTCTTCACAAACGACACAATAAGACGGGTACATGGAAGGAAAGAGGAAGAGAGATGGGGAAGACAAGTCAGGAGGTGCTAAGTCTGAAATGGCCATATCTAACAGGTAGCTGGACAGAAGGATCTGGAGCCCAGCACACACCTGGCTTGATCACTCGCATTCACCTGTGGGTCAGTGACACGCATCCCTGGCTCTGCATCAGAATCACTTTGGAAACGCTTAAAAAAAAACAAAGCACAAAAAACCCGCCATTTGTTTCTCTATTCAATATATCCACAATTTTTCCGTAATCATGCTGGGAGTGGGAGTGGAGGACAGGACATTGTTGAGGTGGAGTGCAGGTAAAACTCACTGAGGTTGGGGAAATAAAGCTTTGAGTTTTTGTTTTGTGACCATTTCAAAACATGATACAAACTGTAGAGGAGGTAGGTGTGTCTTTACTAGGTGGCAACCAAATAATTCTAATATGATTTGTACTCCTTCTCTCACCCCAAGTTTCCAACCTATTCCACTTAAGCAAACTTCAAGTTTGCATTTCAAAGTCTAAGAACTGATCAACAGCTTAACCACCCATTAGAATGTACTCAAAACCCCTTGAAACATACCCAAATGCTCTGTTCAGTTATTTATAAAACTTGCTATTGTCTATTAACTTCTGATGAGCTGTCTTCTCAGCTGCAGAAAAAAAAACCTTTGTCAAAACTTTCCCCTTTGATTTGAATTCATAAACTGGCTAATTTCATGACCTTTATATTTGTATTTCTACCATTCCAAAATAAGAAATAATAATAAATGAAGCAGAGGACATGATCTTCTTTGCAAACTGTTCTCCATATTCTAAACAAAGATTTCACTAAATTTTATAATTAGTCTACAAAAGTGGCTAATACTTTGAACTTCTACCCGTCATGGAGAAGAGGTACAATAAATCATCCCAGGGCTAAAACACATAAAAGTTAAAATGTCATGAACATGCCCTACTAGTTTATTGAAGATTATTCATTTGTGACTTGGAATGTTAGCTCACCTAAACCTAGAATTTATAGCTTTTACCCTGAATTCTGGTTATCTTGGTCTGTTTACCAAGAGGCATAAAGGAGACATTTAGAATAAACAAACACATTTTTGTTCCACTACCAGATATAAAGTATTATTTCTAGGATTCCATCATGTCTATACCTAATTTAGCCATTCTCAATCCTGCTTTTTAGACTGAACTGTAATTTACTAATAGCAATGACAGAATTAAAAGGTCCCAAGACATTATTTAGTCCAATCTAAGGCAGCTGAAGCTCAAAAGTACCAAGTCGACTAGGCTGAAAAGTGGGAGCCCAGTCTGGGTCAACTGGACTGATGCTTTTGGTTATACTGGCAGGAGCAATTACAAGGCTTCAAGAATCTTAGCTCTAGTTCCAGTCTCCTTTCAGATCGGGAGATATTGATGGAGAACAATCCCATCCTCCTCCCACATCTACACCATCTTGGTCTTCAAAGACCTAGTCTTAGTCTTTATGGAGAGAACAGTCTATCAGACTTGGATTTCCTCCACTTCTCACTCCTTCGCTCCTAACAGACCTCTCTTGACCCTTGCTCGCCTACCTCTTCACTTCCTCTCATGAATGTTTATGTTTGGGTAATGGTTCCAAAAGTCCTTCTCCCTCTTTCCAAGGTCAATCTCCCCTCTGAGTCCTTAACATATCCCTCCTACTCCTTTCAGGGTCTTCGTCCAGTATTTTTCTGCTTCCTTGTGTCTTTAACATTTCCCTTTGTGCTCTTTTAGACCTACTCCTATCCCTGTATCTGACTTAAGTAAACAATCCTACCACCCTGTCTCCTCTGAGAAACCTCCCCTTCCTTTTCATCTCCAGATTAACTGAGAAAAAAAACAGCACTTTCTTACTTGCTAGTCTTTCACTGACCCAATACAAATCTTACCTGACCCCTCTTTAGCTCCTACAGAAAATGCTCTTGCAAGGACCAGTGGTGATTCAACAACCAAAATCAAAAGGTTCTCTTCAATTCACCTCCTTAACCACTAAGTCTGACAGGATTGGCCACCTCCTCCCCTCGTAGGGGGCGTGCTTCTCTTACTATACTATTTACATCACTCACCTTTTTGAGCTTCTCCTCTCCTCAGTCTTCCAATGTTGGACTTCACTGCTTTCTCCTTTCCTCCCGGTCAAATCTTCAAATAGTATATAATACACATGCATGTCTGTCTCTGTGTATTTCTTTTCCATTCCAGACTTTTCTCCTGAGTTCAAGTGCTCTATAGGAAGAGTCTACTTGTTAGGTTCCAACCAAGTTCAGTGTATTCAAAATTGAAGTCATCTGTTTTTCCCCCACCACTCCATTTCTCCTCCTGTCCTTCCTTTCTCAGTTAATGGCATCAATAGAAACTCAGAGGAGAAAAAAAAAAAAAAAAGTGGGGGCAGGACAGACACACATGCCTCTTCTTCTCTAAATCATCTTCTCACCACTGACTTTGGTTTTCCCTCAGATCTTCGTATCCACCCTGGCCCATCTGTCCCAGCCCTGGGGTTATCCCTTGGGCAGGCCTTTACCTACAGAATCAGCTGATCTTCTTGCCTCTGGTACTCTTCTTTCTCCTCACTCTTTCAGGACCATCCACAACTTCAATCTTGAGTCATTTCCCTGCATGTAACCCCTCAAAGGCATCCCACTAACTGTATAAATAAGGTTAACTCCCAGAAGAGCATATAAATCTCAACTTGGTTCAACACTAAACTATACTTTCAATTTCCTCTCTACCCATCCTGTTTTCCAGCCACAATGACCTTCCAGTTCTTCCTAGAATATATTTTCCACATGTCGGTTTCTGCCATTCCTTTACAGGCACACTCATGATTCCCTTTTGTGCTTGTTGAACACTTACTCAATACATCACCTCTTCTGTAAAAAATACCCTGATGCCATCTAGCAGAAGAGAAGTTCTGAATACTCTGGCCCCATCATACTTCATACACACTTCTCCGATAAATAATATTTTGTGGTGATGGTCTCCCCGCGAGGGAACTCAGGTCAGGAATAGCATTCGTTCCCATGCACTTGGCACACTGTAGGCCCTGGAGTATTTGAGGAACTTAGTGATGGAAAACTTCTATGTAGACAGGTGAGGCTTTATCTCTAAACTCCCACGCCACGCACATGACATAAAATGATATGCTGACAGAAGAAGTTTTGTGAGAGCTTTAATGGCACAAAATGTTTATAGCTACAAGTTATACATGTCTTGTAAACTGTATATAATGATACAAAGTGCTAACTAAATAGATGAAGAATGCATAATCACTTTGGCTCAGTTAATTCCAATAATTTCAACAACTGGTTCACTTAAAAATTCATCCGACTGGCTAAGTCTTCAATTTTCACTTTTTAGAGTAGTAAATATTTTTACTGCAAAGTAACTTGTTGCACTTTTCAATGTGCAAGTTTGTGCAGTTTTGCTCATGATTCTATTTACAAGTATTTTTAGCCAGTTTTCATCAATCAAGAAAAATGAAGCCTGCCTTTTCATCCCCAAATTGTAAACAGGTATAAAGCTTTTTAAACATTAATCTTAAAATGTCAACTGTTAATTGTCGAAGTCTCCCTTCCAATCATGCAATTGGTTTCTGTTCAACACAAATCTGGGTAGGAGCATAAACATGTATTCCATATGTTAGGGCTATCAATAAATACTGCATGATTTCATCTTAGGAGAAGTTTTACTGTGATCATGTATTCATGTTTTAGGTAATAGTCCAAAATTTCACAGATATTTTAAGAAAAAGGACAGAACTAAATTTATTTCCAATGTTGAAAAAAATCATAAATATAGCCAAGTTCAACCATACTACTGACAGAATTGCTACTGAGTTTCAAAAGAGGGCAATGTGTTACCTGTAAAAAAGCTGCTCTTATTTTAAGGTTGATTTTACTTCCCCCTGCCAGGATATCAGTTGTAATGCGAGTTGCATATTGTAGCAGTTTAACAGTTTAGTGCTTTCAACTTTATCAGCCTTTCCAATTTTACTCAGGCTTTTCAAAATCAGTGGGCCATCAGATTCACTTTCTTTCCAAAGAAATCCAAATATGAACACTTGAAATAAATAGGTTACAGAAGGCAAATCAAGTGTTACCAGGTTTGAGAATAAGATAGAAACAAGGTATAACAAAAAGATACCCAAAATTATTTAGGCATCAAGTGCTAGAAAGAAAACAATTCAGAAAACTATTTTGGATATATCATCTTTCTTAAAGATAACCAGCTATATTCCTGAAAAAAGATAGTCAGAAATTAACTTTTTTTGTTTAATCTGTAGGTTACTTTCCATTATAACATGTCCATTTTACAAAACTTGATGTGAAAGACAAGAGAGTTAGTTTCTGCAAACTGGCAAATCTGGCTGCCAGTGTTCTTATCCAAGGCAAACCTGATGCACTTTATTTAATGAATAGATGGCCAGTTTTAAAATTAACAATGAGAAGTTCTCTAAATAGTCAATAGTAATGTCTATATCATAAACAGTAATTATTTATATATAAAACATATAATAGTATCCCCTTCAGAGTCATGCTAGGTGTTCCAAAATCCAATAAGTCTACTTGGAGTAACTGGTAATCCTGCTGCTTTCTAACAGTTTGGTCCTAAAGCTTCACATTTTAGAAACGAACAAACAAAACAGAAACAGTCTATCACTGAAGGAAGCTGCTGAGCGCTCGGGAACCGCAGGAGTCGAGCACGACTGAAAAGATGGCCCCAGGAGAACATGACCACTGCCCGCACAGTCTCAGGCACCACCTTGGGAGGCTTGTGCAGGTCAACATTAAAAAGGGAGAGATCCAAAGAAAAAAAATGGCATCTTTTCAGAACTTTGTCAACTGTTCCCACAACCCAAGTCTGGTTTTCAAAGTTGCACAAGTGCTTGGAATCACTCTGAAATAATTATCTTCAGAGTTTAAAGGCTTCAGAGTATAAGGGGCGCTTCCTAAAACAAGAAGCCTGTATTTATACCGCAAACTGGAACTCATTCCAAAGCCCCTTCTGAGAAAAGAATTAAAAACAAAAACACAAAACCGAAACTTAAAGTCATGAAAAATTCACATGCAGCTAAAGCTAATAAACGTAAAGACACTAAACACACATAAATCCCCAAAGCAATTTCATGTATTTCTAGGCCTGAGACGTTCCTTAGAAGAAATAAAGATTCTACAGCATAGAGGAGACAGCATCACAACATACTAGTATTAAAATCTGCTGATGTAGTTCAGTTCTTACTCTGCTTCATACCCACCCCTTACGAAGCCGGCCTCCTATAAATTAAAAGGCGCCGCCAGGAGGCCGTTCAGACAAAACGTGGCTCCAAAGCTTGTTTAAAATGATTTTTTATTGCCCAGGATATTTTGTTTCTTGTGTCTTGTTTTTTTTTGTTTTCTTTTTGAATAACTGTAAATTCAAGCTTAGGGAAGTTTGTTTTGCCTTGAAACGAAACGAAACGAAACAAAACATTTGCTAACCTGATCGCATTTGAAGAGAGAGATGGTAGTTATCTTGCAAGACTAAAATTTATACCATGAATGATGCAGGTCTAAGTCTGGTGGCACTAAAAGGAGACGATAGCATTGTTGACACAATTATAATCTGCTGGTGGCATTTGCGGAAAAGAAGCCCTTGCAAATTTCTAAATAACAGCAAACTCTGTTAGGAAATTCTAAAGTGTCTTACAGGCCAAAAAGGGAATGAGGTTAGTAAAATGCCTCAACAGAGTTTGAATAAAATACTGGGTCTGAGAGTTACTGGAACTTGGATATGTAAAAATAGGGTGGTAGGCTGGGTCATGCTTACAATGGTCTCAAGTTCAAATAAACTACTGTGACAATACACCACTTCACAGGTCACACGCTTCTCCGCTTCTCCGGGGCTGTTCTTCCCTTCAGTAGGTGCTGGCAGAAGGTGTGCTCAGTCGCTTCCCAATATAGATGCTGAAAGGAAACAGAGTGCATCGGGTCTCATCCGTGTCAACAGCTGCACACCCATTGGCCACGGGCCAAACTGCACCTGACAACTCCACGTTGTAGAAGACTCTGAAGGTGGATGTGCACAGCTAACACACTGAAATCACTGCTGACTTACTTAAAACTAGTCACCAGCCAGCCAAACTGGTTTTAGGTAATTATGTTTACTCATTAGGCAGGACTGGACAGCACAGGGGCAGTGATCACACGAAGTAAAATCAGAGAGAATAGATCCCTCCAAAGAACAAAGCACAGCCAACTTCCTTTGACATGTTCCCTTAGAGTAGGCAGAAAGTTCTACTAATATTTCACGCACAAAATACAGTAACATGCCAAATTACAAAGCTGCCAGGGCTTTATAGTGGGCTCTTAACTCTTCAGGATTAAGGCCTAACGTTACTTTTCCGTGCCAAGCAAGTATTTTACCATTAAATAACGTAAGCAGAAGGGCAGTTAAGGAAAACAGGAAGCTAGTCCCACCCCGCCGTGTAATAAAACCAACTTTCTCAAATCCTACTTTCCCCACACACATCTATAACAATAGTTACACTTACACCAGCAAGCGAGACAATCTGAAGACTCAGGAAAGGAAAAGCAATTGGAAGGTATAAAAACCAAGTCCTTGAGGGCAAATGAACTACTGTGCAGTCAATACTGGAGGGGAATTTAAACTCCTCCCCTGCCTGCCCTCACACCAACCCCATTCAACACCCACACACTCCCTTCCTCCACAAACCCCCTCCATCCATTCTGCTGTTTGTGATTGCAGCCTTCGCCATCACAAAAACAGATCAAGCACCCAGAAAGACAAAAGAAGTCTATGGAAAAGTCGTGTGTATGGTTCCATGTTTATGACTGTAAGTAAATCTCTTACCCATATGCTGAGCTCCTTACAGGGGAGATAAGGGGTCACATAGCTTTTGTATATTATATAGAGAAAATGATTCTCTGCACATGCTTAAAGAGAATAACAGATAGGTCTTAAAAAAAACAAAAAACTAGTGTTTAACTCTTAAAATCTTTCAAAAATGGATTTCCTCAATTGTTCCATCAAGACAAAAAAAAAAGAATTTAAAAGACATTCCTGAAAAATTCATCAGTTACAGGTAAATATAGGGCCAACTTTAGAAGAATAAATGAAAATGCTACAAAGAATAAAAACAGGATCCTGAACCAACCTACCAGTTTCACTCAAGGCCTATTCAATAAAATGGTGTATTTTCCCATCTGGGGAAAAAAAAATGAGAGGAAATACAACAGGGGATGAAATGAAGGGAAAACCCATTAGGAGTCCACCAGTACTTACCCTAGGCCCAAAGCCAAAACATGAGAGAGGAAGAGAGACGGAATGAACACCTTAAGGAATTCTGCGGAGAAAATACCCCCTTTCTTCATGGCCCCACTTTTCCTCATGCTTAAAGAGACGGAGCGTTTGGGGTGTCTGAAGTGGAACTCTCTGAGGGAAGAAAGGCAGAGGCAGGGATCAGAAACGCACTTGCTGAGAACATCCTGGGAGCGAGCAGGTCCGCTGCCCATGAGCAGGAGCGGCGTCTGCCATGTCCCCTGAGAAGACACGTGCAAGGACTTACTTAGGTGGAATGTTTTCAGGTCTACTGGACCAGTCGGACACCCAGTCGACGCTTTTCTTTGAAGCATCGACTTCTTTCTCTCCTTCTGGAACTTCTTCTTCTGACTGTGAAGAAGAATTACAACTTTAAAAAAGAAAAAAAGGAAGCCCAATTGTTCCTACTACAAAAGACAAATCTAGACAGAAAATATGTGAAAACTCTAAGGTTGTGTCCATCAGCAATTTTTACGTAAGAAACATGCCAGTTTTCTAAAAAGGCTGACCCAATGATCTGAGATCAGGGCATTTAATATCTTAAAAAGAACCTGACCGGGCCTCACTGTTGTTCTATCTAAGCGTAGGATGTGAACCTGAAAAAAGTGCACTTCAGGCTGTAATGCTCACTAAAATGTGGAGAGGATTAATAACTGCTGCATCTGGGTGATACTTATACCAAGGCCCACTGCAACATTCTCTTTACTTCTGTTCACACTTAAAATTTTTCATTATTAAAAATAAAAAAAAAACTCCAGAAGTATATGCTAACCAATATAAAGTGATGAGAAAACAAGTGGGAGATGTGATGAGGAAATAATAATAGTATTTATTAATCACTTATCAAGAGACAAGCATCATTCTAAGCATGTTACATGCATTAATAATTTTTACCTGGCAACAACCCCATAAAAACAGGAATTATCAATATTCCATTTTACAGATGAGGAAATGAAGACATAAATTCAGTAAGTGCCTGAGGTTCTGTAAGTAGTAAGAGACAGGGCCAGTATTTAAACTGGGTAAACTGTCTCCCGAGTCCCCAACTCCTAAGCACTAGGTTTTACTTACTGGAAGGAGATTCCATCTTTTTTGACAAATCACTATCTAAATATTTCCCAAGGTTTACTCAAAACTACTTAAGCCAAAAGTTTTTTGGAATCATTTATTTTATACTGACTTAGAATTTGACATTTTTTGCATCAGGTAAATGAAAACGAAGTCCTTTTTCTTACTAATGATAACCTACAGTTTCAGGCCAAGAACAAGCAAAATTCCCAATAGCTTCCCTTTCACGAGAACCCACAGGAATGAGATAGTCCTAAAAATGACAGCAATATTCACTCGGCTTTAAGGAATGTGATGCTAGGACCTCAAACCCAAGGGTCTCAAAGCAAAGAACTGTTTTGATTTGTTACTTCGTTTGAACAGGATTCACTCTTTGACCAAAGCTTTCATTCTTTTCGGTAGATAGCTATGAAATGCAGAGCTTGATATATATCACGTGTTTCTTTTTGACAGGCTAGTTCTCTATGAACTAAGTGCCCCAGGAAAGTAATTCAGAGAGTAAAAGGGGCTACCCTATCTCTAGAGACTAACAAACTGAAAGTAAAATCCCTGTGGATTTTTGCTACTCTGGTAGTATCATTCTTACTTAGTTCTGCTGGACTTGGCAAATTCCACTGAATGACACAATGTAGCCCTTAGGATTAAGCTTTTTCCATTGGGTATTGAGATTACTCAGAATCATGAGTTGGCTCTTTGTGGAATAAATCTGAAAACATCTTAAATCAAAAACAGTAAGTTGTTACAATTTACTTATAGATCAGTTTGTGTACACACAGTATCTGACGATACCCAACACATTGCACGTCACTTCTGCTTACAGCTTCCAATTCTGATCTCATGTGTCTCTCCTTAAAACTGCTCAAAGACTGAGGTTTAAATTTGTGAACAAGGTAATATTTTCTACTTTCAAAGAGAATTAAAATGTAGTAAAATTTTATGGCTTAATTTACTTTAAGATGATGTCATTTTCTCTCAGTTGAGTGAAGCAAAGTTATCTCTGGACTACTAGTAAAAACAAATTCCCCAATTAAGTTTATAATGCTTACCTTAAGAACCAGAAATCCTATGCTATCCTCATTTACTACTGCTGTGTGCTTCCCTTTATTAATCTTAAATTTGCCAGTTTCAGGTTTTAAATTACCTTCCAATCCTTGGAAAAATGCATTTAATATGGTAAAAACGTACTTAATCTAATTAAATAAGATCCATGCTTTTACCTCAATCAAAAACCTTCTCTGATTATTTTAGCCTGTCCTCATGGGCAAGTCCTTTACCTTCAAAGCACTTACATTTTCCCTCTCTGGCCCATGTCAAATTCTCTAGTTCTCTACGTGCGGCTATTGAACCGCACAGAATGGGGTCCATAAACCCCAGTTTTAAAAGAGGGGAAAGGGAGGGCATTTTCGGTGTGCATCAGTGATACAGGGACACCCGACACTGTGCTGGCCCCCCTCAGTCCCAGAAACACATGCAAAAATGACTTCCGGAGACTTCCACAGTCTCTTTGCTGCCATAAAACGAAGCCTCTTGAGGACTACGGTCATAAAAGTGTAGTCTGAATGATCCTTTTCCTAAATGCATTACACCTTAGGCTTCCTCATACCCTAACTCACCGGGCACGTCTCGGTTCATCCTCACGACCTTGTGAGCGCTCCGGAAATCAATCCCGTGCACGGACTTATTTTAGTAGAAGGCACAGGGGCTGCAGGCTCAGACAGCCCTGGTTTCAATCCGGGCTCTATCACCCATGGCTTTGTGATCTTAGATTAGTAATTTAATGAAGACAAAGCCCCACTTCTCCCATTTGTTCTCAGGGCTAATATCACCTCTTTCACTAGACTGAGGACACTGAAAGTGGGAAAAATCTTTTTTAAAAATAAATTTAGCACCCAGAATATTTTAATATATATTAGTGTCTTTCCTTCCTCCTCCTAGAAAAGGCTAAAAACATTCTATATTCTTCATATAGACACATATAAAAATGTTTGATAAGAGCAAGTCCCGTAACATAGTCCTATGGTAAATGCTTCTATTTGCTAATCCTAAACTCACTTCTCGTTCATGAAAAAAATCCACCCTCCCAAAACCTAGTTATTAATTTTTAAATGATCATTTCTGCAATTTTAAAAAAGCAATGTAATAGGCTTTTTGAAAGTTTAAATAAATCATACCTACTGATTTCTCTTTTATTAAAAGTCTTACTCTAAAAGAACATATTTTTCTTAAGGGATTTAAAACTGCTTTTCCAAAGATGTAACGATGTTTAAATGGACTGCTCTGATTGTTAATGTGGCTTACCCAACAACGTTGACAATAACTAATGTTCCTTTAGGTACTAGTTTCTGAATTGGGACCACAGTAGCAATACTACCATAATCTGACACAGAAGCCAAAAATGTTACATTTTCTCTCCTGAATTTCACAAATTCCTCTGGAATTCTAGGATGAACTCAGTCAGCTCCACAATTGCATTTAAATTCAATTATCAGTTAAGGCTAATTGTACACTGCCACTCCATGAATCGAGACAGCACTTATCAGTGTTCTATTACATTGTTAGATAGATTATTAGGAGGGAAAAGTATGTGTGGAGGGGGAGGGAGGTCTAAGATCAAATAAGCTTGGGAAACACTTGGTTTAAACAAACAGATTCTTCTACTGCAGGAATTGTCAGAGCCTTTAATGTGCTACTATGTGCTGTGACTACTGGGGGTGGGGCGGGGGGGGGGGGTGGAGAGAGCCCAGAGACTGTATTATTTCCACTTAACTTGACTTCAGAACTATCTTATGGAGCTTCCCATTGAGCAAATGTTCCTCGAAACACATTCTGTAAAATGCTAGATTTTCAAACTGTCAATATGAATTGAGGACATCTTCCTCAGAAAAGACTACAGCAAAGAATTAATTTCATTTCTCTTCCTTGGGATTCCTTAGTACACTTTTGTCATGGAAACTACGTATTTTCTTCTTCATTAGTTATAGCTTATGCACATGGCAAAACTAACATACATTAGCCAGCAATTCAACTGCAGTTAGAACATCTCTGTACATGAGAGCCTTCTTTATAATATAAAGCTCATAAAATAAATTCATATCCGATCTGTAGATTTTCTAGGTTTTAGAGAACAGCACAAACAGAATACGGAAAAAGCAGGGAGAAACTGTGAAGCCTTCTGAAACAGAAAGAATACTGGGTGGACCCAACATATCATGCACAATACTTCTAGTGCAAAAGGCGAATAGGACATTATACAGGGAGAACCCCATAAAGCAAAGTTTCTGTCCGAATGCATTTAAACATTCCTTCCACAAATACTCTGCTAGCCCATGAACACGGGAGAAAAAGACAATGGTTCTGGTCCTCACAAATTTGCACTCTAGCACTTTTAGGCGAGTTGACACATCAATACAGTCAAGGGCCAGCTATGAGCATTTTAAAGCGTTAATAACAATTACTTACTTACTGTAAATTTCAGAATATTAATCGTTGTATGCTTTCAATACTACAGCCATCTATTTTACTGACAATGTCAACTCCTAGTGAACTACATTTACCTTCTTTAGTTTAAGGAACCCTGCAAAATTTAGATGAATTTTATCTCTAGCTGTTGAAATTCATCTCAAAAGTCACTGCTTTGATGTCAGATGCAGAAAAAAGTTTTCACACCTGGTTCTACAACTTTCCTTTTCATTCATTTTTGTGACCTTAAATAAAACCTCTATCTCAGCTTTCTATTTAGAAACTCAAGAAACCAGCCTAGAATACTGGAATGATACATTACAGACAAGAATCTTCTGATTCTGTTAGGGTGAGAGGAACCCAAAGTCTCAGCTGCAAAGGCATATAACGAGGGCTGTATCACCCTAAGTAAATTCCAAAATCAGAAACTGAAGAACTTATACCAGCTTCCAACTACTTTTTAAAGTCTTCTTGTTCTTTAATATATTTTAGCAAAACATATTTAGAGTTCGCATTCCTAATTATTTACCGTACATCGGAAAAACAAGCACACAACACACGCACACACCTGAGAGCTATGGTCCCTGCTGGTGTGCATCTCCACATCAAACATAATCTGCCCATCTTCTTGTGGGGAAGGGCTAGAAGAGAAAGAATTTAGCCATTAGTTTTAATTCTCATTTTGTCAAGTAAATTAACCTCCACTGGAAATTAGAAAATTAAGTCACAGCAGTATGGCTCTGAAAAAGCAGCAAATCAAAAAGTATTATCTTGACCCCAAAGAACAAATGAAATTGAGCACTCTTATTCCCAAAATGTTCTGGAATTTTGTGATGGTGATGAATTCCTTTGCAAGGATAAATTTTCTCATTTTTATTCTTTTTCCAATAAAGGTACAAAGATCTTCAAATTCAGAAACTTAATTTCAGGTTCTTTTCCTCAAAGTTCTTTCATCATTAAATAATACATCACCAGTGATTTTCAAAGCGTGAAAGCAGTTTTCAGAGTCTAGTTCGTTCCCAGCCTCCTGAGGAGCTTCCCAGGTGTAATCTGAAACCGGCCCCCACACAGGAGGGCAAGGAGAGGGAAAGAGGCAGGCCACTCCAGGGTCGTAGGTGGCAGCTTTAAACGGCAAGGGAATTTACAGATGAGGCTTGTCTTGGCGTGACAGTAAGGTGAGCAGATGGCACCGCCTGCCACATCTTACAAGTTTATACGGAGGTCTTAACTGGGTTTAGTCACGGATACCATTCAAACAGTCTCAACGCCACATTTCTGTCTCAAAGCTGTATTCCTGAGGCAGCTTCTGGGAGCCAGGAAGGCAAGCAGAACGCACATTCCAAGGACAGGGAGGGAATGAAGAGCCTCCAATTGCCCAAGTCCAGCTCCAGGGTCAAACTGTGGTCACGTCTTCTCGAACACCTCCCCCAACACGCTTTCAAAGGGTCTTCAAGGTTAAAGTTGTTTTCATGATACTATTATGATTTGCCTTTTTTATTCTTATTTTGTCATGCCCATCATTCTTATTCTGTGTATTGTGAAATTTTCCAAAGGCTACATGATGTGTTTTATCACTACAAACCGAATGCAAAAGTGAATGAGAATCCAGCTGTTTTCTATTAAGCCAGATAAGAAAGAGATTTGCAAAAATGTAAATCAATGCCACTAGTTCTTACTAATTTTTTTTGTTATGAAAAAGTTATTTTTCATTTTAAAAAGTTACTCATACTGAAATGTAATGGGTTTATTATTGTTGAACGAATACATATTTTTAAATTTCTTTCAATTTCTAATATAGTTAAATATCAATATATATAACTCCCATCAACAAAAGATCTTTGGGGATCCTAGTAATTTTTAGGAATGTAAAGGATATGGAGACCAGAACCACCATTCTACTTATTTCAGAAATTATTTGCTTTGAGATATTTCAAAGTGAATTATATAAGCATATATATGAATACAGAACCTTCAATGAAAAGTACAAAATATATTCCCAGAAACAAAAATTTACAGATAAACTTTTAGACAAAAACACATGATCATGAACTATACTTGATATGATAGATGAAAACAACCTGGTAAGTTCTATTCTTAACTTTATCAATGATTCCTTATGTAACCACAGCAGGTCACTAGATTTTCCACCACACACCCCACCCCACCAAATCTAAACCGAAGTAGGGATGAAAACGCTCCAGGCTTATCCTGTTCAAAGGAGTAGATGTTATCTGTTAAAGCTACCAAGAGCATGTGTACAATGTTAACATACAGAGATGCTTTTGAACTAGAAATCTCCGCCTAGAGCACAGGAACCAGGTGGAAGGAGGCACTCTTGTTGTCCTCAGTTTACTGTCATTATGGTCACATAACACTGTTGCGTTCACAGCCAGAGAGATCAAGTTAAGGGTCAGCCTCACAGAGCCAGGAGCAGGTCAAGGCAGCAGAATGACATAGGCAAGAACCCTACAGAAGCACTGCTCTACTTCTACACTCTATCACTGCACCAATCTCACTTAGAAGAATACTAAACGTTTCACTGGTAAACGGTTTACTACTTCTAGAGCTTCAATCCTGGCTTATATGAGAATTAGCCAGGGAGCTTTTAAAATATCCTCACATCTCTACCCCGTCCCTGATGACAGAATATGAACCTCTAGGGATGTGGCCTGTGCACTGGTATTTTTAAAAGCTCCCTGGGTGTATCTAGTGTGGAGGTTGAGAACTCCTGCAATAGGGTAAAACGCAATAAAAACACAAAGGGGTTATCTTCTAATAACCACTACAGTGACAAAAATGTATCTCTGGAATAATTTTTAAATTGAAAATATGGTTTACCCTTGAACAATGCAGGGTTTAACCCTGCACAGTTAAAAATCTGTGTATAACTTCTGACTACCCCCAAACTTAATTACTAATAAACCACTTTTGACAAGAGGCCTTACGGATAGTCAATTTACACATATCTTGTATGTTATAGATTTTATGTAGTGTATTCCTACAATAAAGTAGGCTAGAGGAAAAAAATGTTAAAGAAACTCGTAAGGAAGAGAAACTACATTTATAGTACTGTACTGGATTTATGGGAAAAAATCCACATGGCTGTGTAGTTCAGACCCATGTTGTTCAAGGGTCACTGTATATATAAATTAGTTCTGGGATGAATATCCAACAGTCCCATGATTGAGATGCATGGCAACTCAAATGACATGAATTTTGAAGACATTTTAAAATGTCAAGGTGTGTTGGCACAGGAGAGTATTACTGAGCTAGAGTTGCAGGCCTTCTCTGAAAGATGACCAGGAACCCAGAGCCTAAAGATACAGAAGCTGAGGGATAGGAAAGTGTTCAAAAGCACATGCCACGCCTTGCTTCACGTGTTTAGAAACCTAACTTAAACGTGATCACGGGAAGGTAAATTCATATTTGATCACAAGTATAACTACAACCACAAGTGAAATAAGATGACCAGAAAAGCAAGCAGGTGACTTCTTCTCTGCTTGGTGACAACAGCAAGTGAACAAGAGGTTAAGAGACACATTGATACCAATGATCAAGGGTCATGTACTTGAATGTATAGTAAAAGTCTTATAAACAGGCCCAGAACAAGCAGAAAACTTCAGAAACCCATTACAAGTCCCATAATATAAATGTAATAGAATATAAACTTCATTCTGAAAGACAGACGAATGCTATTGCAACTGGAATCAATGGCAAGCTGCTCAGCAAAGAGCCATCTGCTCTGCTTCTGCTTTTAACCACAGCCATCCCAGGCTCCTAAGAAGCACAGGGACACAGGCAGAGATGAGACGGGGTGGTGGGGGCGCACAGTGTGCCAGAGCCAGCAAACCAGGCTCTGCTACCTTGGTAACATCAGTGGATTATAAGATATGCAGGAACCTCAAACATGACTGAACTCCTCTTTCTCCTTTGAAACTTTTTCTGACAAATAAAATATGCTATATATACAATTTTTACAAAGTACAAAAATATTCAGAAGAAAAATATCCATAATTCCACCCCTTAGAGATTATCACTTTTATTTTTAGTATACATTTTAAGTGTTTCCTTAGTCTTTGCCTTGTGCATCTGCATTTTCTACATGACTAATGTCAATTAACTCTTAATTAACCAAAAGATCATCCAGTATCCCATAATGCTAACAGTATGGCTGTCACCAGTCTAAGAAGTGTCAGGCGTACCACCCAGCCCTCCGGAAAAAAAACAAAGCTCACACTGCAAAATAAACGAACAACTCGGTTTCATTCCACTCATACGTATCACTGTATCCTTACTCTTTCACCAAAAGCAGCCCTTCATCAGTGGAATTACTCTTCCCAAGGCAAATGTAGAAAAATGAGGTCTGAAATAAAAGTTCCTCTGAAACAAAATGGTCTTCCAAATTAACTATCTTTGCAGACCCTGGTTGGTGTTTCCAACCATGCAAATACCACTATAACTTAAATCAACCTGCCGTTTCTAGGACCCAAATGTTTACTGAGTGTCTACTATGCACCAGCACCATGACTGTCAAGGGTACAAAGGAGATGAAACATGATCCCTGCCTTCTGGAGCCTCACAGTCTAGAAGGGGGGACAGATATGTAACTGGCAGAATATGATCTGTGAAACAGGACACAGAGGAAAATGGGAGAAAGTTTAATACTACAAGTAAACATTTATGCCATTGACTTTTAAACGGATAAACATCAAAAAAAATGATACAATCTGAATAAGGAAATTGATTTAATCTAGGGAAAAACACCAGGCACTCAAGTATTTGTCAATTAGCTATCTGATTTAAATACACATGCTGCAATAAATCAGGAGTCACATTTTGTAAAAGAAAATGAAAGCAGATTTATTTTTTCTAATGGGAATTAACCTTGTAACCCATCTGTATGGATCTCACTTACCTGTCACAGTGAGAGCTGGCTCTTGAACTACTCTGTCCTGATTCATGTTGTGCATCCAAAAGAATCTTCTCCATGTCTCCATTGTGGATAGAGGATGAGGAAGGTACATGTTCTAGCCCCCCATTTTTCCCATTGCCATTATCATTGCCATTGCTGCTGTTCATGGGTAGCTCCACCCAGGAACCTGTTGGACAAGTCAGATAGCTTAAGTTAACCACAGCAGAACCAAACTCTGTCATGTGCACACAGATGCGAATGTGGTGAATTCTGATAAGAATTCGGTCTTGCCTCAAAGCAAATGCAAGAGTATTCTGAAGAAAATAAATAAGGAGCAACAGAAGTCTAAAAATACATATAGTTCCTGTTCCTGAAGTAGCTCACGCAATCAACCAATTTAGAAGAAGCTGGAACTCTACAACTAGTATCTTAGAAAATGTGTCTTTCAGCCAATTTTCTCTCTAGTTAAATCTTAGTTTATAGATGATAAGCACTTCACTGAAAACTTTGAGATTGCTTTTCAGAAAATAAATGGCTACTTTATTACTACTTATCTTTAATATTTTAATTATATATGTTTAACGTAATACATGTATGTATTTTTTCCCACTACTTCAGCTATTTAGTTGTATCCTCCCCATAGATAAAATAAATCTATGGCTTAGAAACTTCTTAAAAGTCATCTAAATAAGTTAACAACTGTCCTAATTAGCACAATTAGAAGCTCCTAGAAAACTTAAATCCAATCATAAAATTTTCAATTTGTGTACGAATGTGCAGCATAAAATTAATGCATCTAGCTCTTAATTAAATCCAGTGATAATACTAAAAAAAATCTGAAAAAAGCTTTCTCTCTACCCCACAAATTAGTTTCTTCCTTTCCTTTATACCTCACCCCTTTCTATCCTCTCCCCTATGCACTAACCATACCTTGTGGATTTGTCCTTTCTTCTCTCCCACGACTTCCCTATTTCCTAGGGTTTCACTAAGCCTTCTTGGTTTTGGGGAGAAACTGCATCTGTACAGGAGACACTGAGGTTTTCTCAGGCCAACAGTCAAAGAGGGTGGAGCCACAGGAAAGGGGATGTGGCCCTGGTAATCTAGATAGCTCTTGAAAATATTTATTTATTGGCTCAATGAGTTTGCTGAACACATTAAGGTGCTTTAATTTTAATAAGAATTGATAACAGTAGCCAATAGACCAACTTCACAACAAAAAGAAACACGGGTGAATTCTTCCTAATTTCCATTCTGTATAACAAATTTTGTTTTAGAAAATATAACCAAGCAGGTTGATAGGGCCGTTCCTCCAAACTCTCAGCAGAACATTAGAGTTCTGTGGCCAATCTTCCACCAGTAAATCAGAAAAACCACCAAATGAGGCTCAAACCTTAAAATGCACTCTCAGTTAGGTGAGGACTATTCTAAATCCAAAGTGCACTCAACATCATCCTTACATGAAGGAAAAGCTCAAAGGCAGACCTGGCTAGAAATCTGACTCCACCACCTACTCTCTGCCTGTCTTACTGAGCTTAGGTATTCTCATTTGTAAAACAGAGATATAAAAATACAGACCCCTACCTCTCAAAGCTGCTCTGAGGATTAAACACAGGACATAGGTAAAGTGCCCAGTAGGTGGGAGATGTTCAGCTATCCACTAGTTAAAAGAGCTTTATTATTTGTCAAGTACTTAGAACAGTGTTTGCTAAATAAAAACGAAGTTACCCTTTCCTTCCTTTCCCTCTAAGGCAGTCCCAGTGGGTGTCACAGTCCCATAACCACCACCAAATCTTGGGGACTGTACTGCCTACAACACAGCTGTAGGACATCTCTGTGACCTCATTCTACAGACAAAAATGGACACAGACTAGACAGAACTCAAAATGGATTAACAAGTTCAACTAGCAAAGCTAAGACAGACTTAACACTAAAGGTAATTTAATTAAATACTTGGAGTGCCTCTGGAGTATAAAGAACTATGCCAAAAGCATCCCTAAATTTAGAGTTCTACAAAGTATTTTAACAGGAAAGAGACAGAAAAAGAGGTATATGATAAATTTTTTTTCTAGTTTAACTGTTTTCTAGGACTGTCAAACTTATTTTAAGCCAACAGAATCAGTTCTTCTTGTACAGAAGCCCAAAGTATAAAATAAACAAAAGACCTGAGCTGCTCTGATAGAAGAACTAAGGAACCAGGAGTTTCCCATGGGTCTCTGTGGAAGCCAGTCTTCCCTAAAATACAGTGAATGTTCACTTCAAGTAGCTGATCAAAGAGAAAACTGGCTGTAACAGTATCTTTTCCAGACCTTACTTTTTTGAAGGACTTCCAAACCAATATCTAAATTCTTCTTTCTGCATTAAAAATATATGAGCAATCATAACCTAGGAACTTGAGAAGACATAGCTGGAAAACCTCAGTAAAACCGACCTCTGTGACTGGCTTCACACCCAGCATAACTGAAGTCATTTCTACTTAAGGCAGACAATATTTATCTGGCATATATTACTAGGGTGGTTAAGAGCACAGACTGAAGGCAGACTCCCACTCTACCACTTACATCTGTTACACCCTAGACAGGTTACTTAACCCCTTAACAGTTTTCTCATCTATAAACTGGGAATAAGAATTGTATCTACCTCACACAGTTGTTAGAAGGTATTTAATGAATAAAGCATGGAGAAAAATAAGGTCACTAGTATATGGTAACTGCTATGTGCTAGCCACTATTATAATTATACTGTTATCTTTTTAAAAAATTTATTGCAAAAATGTGTTTCTTGAAAATAAACATAAAGTAAAAACAATTTTTCCTCCCAATCTCCCATTCCTACTCCCAAAGACCACTTTTAAAAGGTTTGTATGTCAACTTCCAGAGCTTTTTCAATGAAATACAGTTGTTTTTTGTTCTTGTTTTTATAAAGAAATTGAATTGTACTATGAATATTTTTCTGTAAGAAGCGTTGGGTTTTTTTTTAAGATTTTATCTATTTATTTAAGAGAGAGAGTGCAAGCATGAGCAGGGGGAAGGGCAGAGGGAGAGGAAGAAGCAGACTCCCCACCGAGCAGAGAGCCTGATGCAGGGCTCGATCCCAGGACCCTGAGATCATGACTGGAGCCGAAGGTAGCCGCCTAACTGACTGAGCCAGACAGGCGCCCCTGTAAGAAGCATTTCTTACCCAACAACTTATAGATCTCTTTCAAGGTCAATGTATATTACCTTACTTTATTCTTTTAAACAATTGCTTTGCATCTCATCATAAGTATATACCATACTTTAACCATTATCTAAATGTCAAGGTTAACCATTACCCAAATTGTTTCTAATATTATGTTATTACAATCAGGTCTTCAATAGACGATAATTTGACAATGTGCATTAAGACACCTAAAAAGGTAGATTTTCCTTAAAAGTTCTCTTCCAGATAGATCTATAGAAATAAACATTACTGCAGAAAAAGTTATGCACACAGATTATTAAAAGCTTCATCTTTTGACTAAGATGGGAAAAAAAATAAACTTGTCTTTCTCAATAGGTGGACTATACATGCTTTTCATTACCTAGTTCATTCCTGATTTACAGCCTCAAAATTTCTTGATGTTCTAACTACCAATTCTCACAAAGTCCCCTTCGACTTGGAAAGGAAACAAGACAAGATACGAGGATTGTGCTGGCCAAGCAATACAAAGTAGAAAAAAATCTGAGTGAATTCTCTTCCTGATAATCAAGCTTTAAAATTAAAAACTGCAGGCTCTCTCCGTTATATTAAAAGACTACTTACAAACTGAAAAGCGTTCTCTTATGCCAGACTCTACACATACACAATACATGAGATATTTTCTAGTTTAAGTCTTTGAGAATTGCTAAGAGATTCAGAATTGCTAAGAGAATCACACTTCTACATTTTGTAATATAGTACATTGTGAAGGTTGGTCCAGTAATTGTGATTATATTCATGACTGTATGCTGTATATACTCTTTTATAGTTTTATAATCACTAGTTCAATCCTCTTGCAAGAAGGGGAGTGGGAGAGCTGAGGGGTAGAGGAAGGGAGAGAAGGAAGAAGAGTAGTTCTCATCTTTTTCCACAACTTTCCAAGGTCCCATGTATAACTCTTATCCGAACCAGGGGTAACACATTCCATTATGTCTTATGTTCTCTCCTCAAAGTCTTTATTTTATTTCAAATACTTGATGCTGGAATCCAGACCAAGAACAGTCACCAACATTCTTCTAAAAAAAAAAAAAAAGTTGGTCATTTTGCACAAGTGGATACTTACACATCAGTTACTTATGTATTCAAAACAGTATCATGAAGCAGTGAAGTTTCACATGCCATAGCCTTAAAAGCCTTCTCACCATACTGGGGAAGCAAGTACATACATCATGGTTGAAGATGTTTAAAAAAGAAAAAAAAAAAAGGCTGTACTTCCTACATTAAATAGTAACGAGAATTTTACTACTACCTGGATTTTCCTTATACTACCTACCAAATTATATAGCATAAATGTCCTATACAAATATTCTTAATCTGTTAGTTTTCTTAAGAATAAAACTGGACTGAAAACTGGAAAAATGTCATTTTAACTTTGCCAGCAGTTCAGATATTTATCCACTGATTTGTAAGGAAAATGAACATTTCCCCTACAATGGTAAACTAAAAAAAAAAAAAAAAAGTCAGAAAAAGGTTTCATTATTCCAAATATTTCAATAATTTGCTGTTAAAACTGTCTTGACCCCTGAACTGAAGAAAAATCCCAAACCACAGATAATCCATACAATGAGTTCATCTCCTGTGTTTCATAGTTGTGCAACTTTACCCAACAAAGAACTTCAACTTATCAGCAATTTGGGTAGTATTAGATGTCTGAATACGTTGTTTTGCCTAGTGCCCAAAAATCACTTGAAGGAATCAGTAAGGCTTCTTGTTTTGTTTAAACCGCTGTTGTATAATGAACTGAAAACACAAAAGAATAAAAGGCAAGAGGGGAGAAATTAAATATGGCACTAGCTAAAAGGTTTTCAGTAACTTTTCAAAGCTCACCCTACTCAAAACAAAATACTTTCTGTCTAGATTTCCCAAAGCCAACATTTTGATATCACACACAGAGTGTTCTTCCACTTCTGTTAAGAGCTAATACAAACGTAGCAGCAACTGATTGGCCAAAAACATCAAATACCTCACAGGTCTATCAGACACAGAGATAAACAATCACAGACAGCTCAACCCCATTTGTTCTTGTTTTTGTTAAATGGTGCTCAAAGGGAACTAAAATTCCTTTTTTTCCTGTGAAATCATGTATGCATACTAACCAAACAGCTAACTTGTAAGTACTGCAGGAAAACGGGGAGTACAATCAAGAAACAGTACACTAAAAAGCTAGATAGGCGGGTCACCTCTGTACATTAGGAAGAACAGTATACTGAGAGACTAGGAAACACAAATAACCAGGGGATTCTGGGCCACTAACGCGTCCTGAAAGGAACACTAGCTCATTTGAAAGTAAAAATCTCAGCTCTAGGTCCTAGCCTGCTGTGAACTTGGACAACACACTTTACTCTTGCTCTCTTTACCCGTAAATAACAGAGTTACCTCTAAAGTCTCTTCCCATTCTAAAATTCCATGCTTCTAAGAGTATGCTAAAAACGGGTAAGTAGTGTTTTAAGTGTACATTAATACATGAAACAGATAACGTTTAAAGATACATAAATTAATCCTTTCTGTGGGAAATAACATATAAATCTTAAATTCCAGAACGTAAGACACTTGAGTTTCAAAAACTCAACATTTAAGAAAAATTTACCCATCAAAAGATGGAACAGCAGCAACAAGCAATGAAAATATCTTAAAATACTCAAATTCTATCCCCATCTTGTGGGAGGGGACAGGAACTCTTTTCCCTAAAATAATTTTTAGGCCATGTTGGAACACGTCCCTCTTATGAAAGAGATTGCAATGCCTTTGAATGTCATTTAAGCATCCAAATGATTTTCAAACGATTTCATCGGGCCATTTGCTAACTGTCCCAACTGCCTCTTTCAGGAGATCAATTACAGAAAGGTTAGGCAAGAACCTTTCCAAGACGACTGAGCTTTCAAGACAACTGGGAAAAACCTTAGGACAAGAGGTCTGAGCACCAGAATGTTATGATAAGCAACTGTAGTTGGTCGTAACTCAAATACTGCACATTAACTTCCAAGCGCCCGACTGTATTCGTGTGGTTTTAATCCCGTTCCTGAACATTTATTGCCCCAGATTCCACAATTTATGCAATCTTGGATGGTTCAAGAGGCTGTTCACAAAAGGTTTTCAGGGCACGCAACTCCATCGTTTCAAAAACAAAACCAAAAAACTCACTTGGGCCAACTCTCAAAAACAAACAAAAAAAAGTAGCATAGCCTCCTCACCCCCCATCCCCAACGTGAAACAAATAACCACTAAATTACCAAATGATTTTCCTGACCAGCCTGTGTGGTAACAAAGGAAGGGAACTGGAGGGCTCACATTCTGAGCCCTAAAAGAACGCCGACCCAGAAAGGTGGGGTCACCCGGGCCAGGCCCGAGCCCCGCCGCACACCTGACCTCCCGCGCGTTCCCCGGCCGCCCCCTCCCCTCGGCCCGCCGCCCGCGTCCATCCCCCGGCGTCCCCGCTGCACGTCCCCATCCCTGCCCACGTCCCCTCCGCCGCCCGCTCCGCCCACCCTGCTCCCCGCGCCCCAAGGCCCGCCCCCCCCGCGCCCCGATTGGCTCCGCTCAGGGGCCCACCACAGGTGGGATCAGCTCGTCCCCCTTCTCCTCCCACCCACCTGCCCTCCCCAACTGCCAACCCAAGCGACCCCCTACCAAGACCTCAGGAGGGAGGGGAGACAGGGCTAGAGAAAGACAGGAGCAACTCCTCCTGACAGGTGACGGGAGCTGTCAGTCACCCGCACATCCTCAGCCTTGGCCAATGGGCTGCCTTCTCCTCCCGCCCCCCGCGCGGAGCTGGCGGCGGCGGCCGGAGCAGCTCCTCCTCCCCCATCCTCTTCACCGAGCCCACCCGCCCACCACTCACTGTTGAGGCCGGCTGGCGGGGGCAAAGGCTGTTCACCTTCCTCGCAGTTGTTGTTGTTGTTGTGCGGGGGCGGCGGCTGCTCTACTAAATGAGACGACATTGTCAGGCGGCTGGAAGAGCTGTGGCCGCAGCAAGACCGCCTCTGGTTCTCGGGCAGCAACACAACAAGCCGAGTCCCCCGCCCCCTTTTCTGCGCCTGCGCAGTCCCTCCCCCGCCCCTGACGTCAGGGCCCGCTCCGGCCACGTGATGACAACACAACAAGCGACGGGGCGGGGAGGGGGCGTTCCCAGGCGAGCTTCAGACCTGGAGACGCGGGAGTCACGCTGACACGCGCACCTGGAATGAGTTCTTGCGTGTCATTTGTACCGGCCTGCTGGAGTGACTTATGCAGCTGGAACTGAGATAGAGGTTAGGGAGAAATGTGTAATGAGGAAGTGTTAAGATGTTCATCTGCTGGCACCCAAATCTGCACCAACATTGCTTTAGCCAATCCCTGAGCATTTCTTTTTCACTGTCTACAAGGATTCATTTCTGTAATAGGTTTCATGGTGACACAAAGGAAGCAAAAACCCCGGCGCCTCCCTGTCATAAACCTAAAACAAAGCTGGCAATACATTAATACTCCAAACAGGGAACAATGTAAGGCAGGCCAGAATTTTTAGTTGCTAAAGATTTTTTAAAATTTTAAATTACAAATGTAACACGTGATCATTGTAAAAAATGGAAAATTCCAGGAAAACATACGGAAGAAAATAACCACCCGAATTCCATCGTCTAACCTATTAATGGGACTTGACATCGGAAGCCGTGTTCCCTATACGTGGGTGACAGTAAACTACTTTATATTCCTAAACGCTACACCTGTTTCATACAACCACATCTTTGTCCATTCCTTGGTCTGTGTGGTACATATTTCTCTCAGTCTGTCACTTGTCTTTTAACTTTGTTTCACTCTGAAAAAGTTCAAAATTTTCATGCAATCAAACCTATTATTTTCATATGATTTGGGAACACCCTCACACCAAGATTTTAAATCTATTCCTTATAAATTTTTCTAATCCTCTTATAGGCTTAATTTTTATATTTAGGTCCTTGATCCATCTGAAATTTATTTTTGATGTGTTGTAAATTAATTAATTTCAATTTTTCCCAATTGGGTAGTCAACTGACCCAACAATATTTATTAATTTTTATGTCATCCTCTCCACAGTGATTTGAAATTGTACCTTTATCACGTTCTAAATTTCCTCAAAAGCATGAGTCCATTTAAGGCCTGTCTACAATAGCTCTATTAGCTAAAAGCAAGAGAAAGTTTGTCCTCCTTTGCCTTTTTAAAACTTTTCAAGACTATTCAATCACTCTTTAGATGAATTTTAAAAGTTGACTGTCCAAGATTGACCATGTGTTGGTAATTATTGAAGCTAGGTGATGGTTATGTTAAGCTATTATTCTAGTTTTGAATACATTTGAAAAGTTCCATACTAAAAATGTTTTTTAAGGATTAATTTGTCAAATCGCATTGCAAATTTTTTTAAGATTTTGGTCAGAAATGTATTCAGTTAATAGATTAATTGGGAGGATAACTGATATATTTACAAAATAGCCTTCCCATTCAGGACTATTGTCGATCATTAAAAGAAGAAGGTAAGCAGTATAGCCAGCAAAATTGAGTTTATTCGGGAATAGCCGAGGAGTTGCAAACTATGGTGAACCATGGTCAAGTCTGAAGAAGAAAGAAGAAAGGGATTTTTAAGAAAGAGGTTGGGAGGGGTTATTTTGATAAGAGTTCATTAAGGAGAGCAAGAATTTGAGGTTGCGGCAGCTTCTCATTGGCTGAGCTGTTGCCAAGTGAGAGGAAAATCTTCCTTCTTCTTGCTGGGGTATGTAAAGTAAGCTTCCTGCTAAAGTATGTAAGGTAAGCTGTCAAGAGTGGTACCTGAGTGAGAACCCTCCCTTCATTGATTCCCTTCTCCATTTTGAATTAGATTTCCTTTATTCATTTTCACATTCCCCTTGTTTGATCAAGATCTGTCCTTGAAAGCATTGCTGCTCAAGCATTTGGTTGGTTATTTATTTATTAATTAAACATTTTTGTCTGTGTCACTCAGTGACAGAAAGGACCTTTCCTGGTATTCCTGTCCCAGGTTGCAGGGAGACCTTGAGGTGATGGAAACCATAGAAATCACATTTGCGCAACAAATAAAGTAGAAGAAGGAGCTCTCAGGTATTTTCCACTCTTAAGGTCATATCTTGTCTAGATTGTAAGCTTTGGAAATCATCTCAAAGTGTTGAGCTAACATCATTCTATCTGGTGCATCACTTCTGTAGAGATTTGACAAGCAACAAGTTTAAAAATAATTATGCAAAACAGAATTAAAAGTAACATGACAAATCCAACTTGTATAATGGTTCTAAACCATGACCCAAATCTGAAGGTAGCCAACTGAGCAAATCAAAGGACCAGGGAGATCAGGTGAAATTTGTTGTAAGCAGTGTACTTGTTCCCTGATCTTGTGTAAATGAGTCTCTACCTCTCCAGAGGCATTTATCCAGGTGCAGCAGGTGGTATTGGCTACTGCACAAATGCCTCCTTGCTCAGCAAGTAGTCAAGGGCTATGCAATTGTCCAAAACTATTTTAGCCGATGAGTCAAGTGATCAGTGTTGGGCTGCTACTGCTTTGGTGTGGAATTGGCTAGCTCTCCTAATGTTAGGGAGAGATTTCTGATCGTATGCTCACTGGTATTTACTCTAACCCGAAGAGGAAAAGCTTTCCCTACAGAGTCATGTATGCCTCTTGGAAGTTCGCATTTAAGTCAGCCATGGAGGCTCAATGGGTGGACCAATGAGAGGCTTCTGATTTGCTATGCATGTCAACAGGGGTGGTTAAATGTCCCAATAAGCCTTGGTCTCCAATTCACCAGCTATCTAAACATTCATATGCCCATGAAAATGCCATCCACTGCAGACAAAAATGAAACCAGGTGGAGCACAGAGGACTTCAGCTAAGGTCTGGTTATTGATAGATTCATTAGCTGGAATTTTCTGATTGAAATTTTCAAGCCAGGGGTCAGAGAAATTAGGACAACATTCTGTGAGGTGCCATCCCATCCTAAAGCTGTCTTTTCTAAAAGCCTTGCAAAGAGGAGTTAGCCCATTTATATTTCTCTTGAGTACAGGGGACAGATCATATTTAAGTAAGGAAAAGATGTGGGTTGGAAGGAAACCAAGGTTGTATGATTGGCAAAGATGGAGGTGTCTAGTTGAGCTAGCCTGGTTATGACTGGGGAAAGTATAGGAACACCTGGCCATAATAGCCTAGCACCCTAGGTAACATTCAAAGGCTTATGGGTTTAATCAGTAGTGGCATTTGAGACTAAGGAGATATTGGTGACAGGTAAGACCAAGAGGTCTCTGACATTATGAATAGGTTGGAGTTTCTGGTGATAGATTCAACGGTCAGAAAGATTTGCCCCTTTTGCAATAGGTTGGGAAATGGGAATAAGAGCATAGACCCACATAATATATAGATAGACACAGAGATCTTACCACTCTTGTTTTAAAAATTTTAGCTATATGTCAGGTACAAAACTCAAAAGAATAGTTGGATCCAAATTATGTTTCTGGCAAATGGCCTAAGTTAAGTTTACCTCCTCAGATGGCCAAAGTTTTTTACTAAAGTATTTGTATGCTACAAGGATCCTTTTAGAGCTATTTTGGGAGTCATTTTGTCTTTCAGGATCTTCTGCATTCCAATCTAAGAATGCATTCCATTGTCACTGAAATGTTTGGAAACTTCTCTTTTAAGGGATCCCCTTAAGGTGGATTTATCTAAAACAAAGTTTCCCCAGAATGGCCATTACAATTCCAAAGTATCCAAAAATTTACCCAGTTTTCAGAAAGGCACAAGAACCTGGTCCAAGGATCAGATGGAACCTATCTTGCCTTTGGATTCTCTAAAACATACCATGAGGGGCCCTGTTTTCCAACAGCTGTTTTAAAACACTGGGAATCATGTGTATTCCCACCTTTTGAACAGGATGGGTGACTTACCAAGAAGCTTCAACAAACAGAAACAGAAACAGAAGGGATTAAACAGAAATAGAGAACAAGTATGCACAGCAAAGTTGGAGAGCTTAGAACACAAAACAAAACAATCAGAAATTTAGAAAACAAAAGAATACTCACCAGAAAGGGTGATATTTTCATAAAAACAGATCCCAAGTAAAGTCCAAAAGCTTGACCAAAAGGAGAGAGCTTGAATTGAGAGAGACTTACCCAAATCAAAATGGAAGAAGACAATGCACCTTGTGAAGAGCACAAAGTGCTCAAGTGGGTACTGCGCATAGTTCTGGGTGTTGGTAGTAGCTCGAGGGTTTGTCTCCTTTGATCCCACTTCTAACACCAAGAAATGTCAACCATCCAAAGAAGAAGGTAAGCAGTTTAGCCAACAAAATCGACCTTAGTTCAGAATAGCAGAGAAACCCAGGACAAGCAAACCTTGGCTATTCCTAGGTAAGTCCAAAGAAAGGAGGAGAGCATCCTTTCATAGAGGAAAGGAGAAAGTTTGGAGGGGTTGCTTTGAACAAAAATTCATTGGAGGAGAGCAAGAGTTCAAGATTGTGATGTTTTCTCATTGGCTGGGTTGTTGCTGGGCAAGGAGAAAATCTTCCTTTTTCTCACCGATGTATGTAAAGTAAGCTATGACTCTTAATCTTGGGATTGAGTTCAAGCCCTGCGTTGGACATGGAGCCTACTTAAAAAAATAATAATAATAATGTCATTTAAGCTTTTATATTTTCCCCCTCTTTATGTGTCATGGATTTCAAGAGGTCATTTCCCCCTCCTAATATGATTATATTTTTTCTATCTCTTTTTTTATATTTGATGCTTTAGTAATTGATTCACAGATATTCATAATTATCTCTTTATCATAATGAAGTGGTCATAATTTTGTCCTCAGTTCAAATTTTTCTGATACTAACATCATGATCCTGGTTTTTGTTGTGGTGGTGGTTTT